GTAATATGGCTTGCACGCCTCAAAGAGCCTTTGACATACTTTAATTTCAGGGTACTGTAGTTTGAAATCGTTATAAATTTCTGTTTGGGATTTTTCTAGAATTTGAACTGCGTGTGATGAATATTGTTTTGGCCCGATTCTAACCCGCTTTACATCATTCTTATTTCCAGTCGGATGAGAATTTTCGGGGGCACACCAAAATTCGTATATGAGTTTTCTGTTTTCGTCAGACAGAGCGTCTGACCTTGTTTTTCGCTTCGTATACGTGAAGCTAGATGACTCTGAATGAAAAATTTTATTGCGTACAACATAGGCCTTTGATATACGGCGAACAGGAAGTCCAAGCTTTTTAGCAAGAGAAGATTTAGACCTAGACTCTTTTACAGAATCTCCACTGACGGAGGCTGTCAGAAAATCCATTACCTCCCTTGATTTGTCACACCTTTTCATTTTCAGTTTTAAAACAGACTCTTTTATATCCCCGAGTACAGAATTTTGAAGGATTGAATTTTCTTTTTCCTCCGGAGAAGGAACAAGGTTTTTAGATTCTAGTATTTTAACAACAGGTGAATTGCTGTCTTCTAGAAATGCTGCAATGGTAGCAGCTTGTTTTATAGGAGAGTTTGGCAAATTTGATTTTAATTTTTTCAAAGCTCTACTTTTTTGCATTTTGTTTTCAAAAGATAGTTCAGTGACTTCCTTTAATTCGTTCGATATTTGTTGGTCGTTTTTTTTCTTGCGCCACCTTTTTTGTCTTTCCATTTTTTTGGTGCGTTTAAAATCATTTAATTTGTTAAGGTTAGATTTAAATTCTCTCTCTCTTTGTTTTCTGACTCTGTTATTTTCTCTTTTTATCCTCTCCTGTTCGCGCTGTTTTCGTTTTCGTATTGTTGCAGCTTTTATGTTTGCATCTAAATAGAACATTTGACAATTTTGAAATTTTGTGGAGATAAATCACATAATTTTATATCTCAAAAATTGTAAAATTATATTTTATGGAACACTTAAATGGAACACTTGACTTAAATTATTTTTTCCAGTACCAAACCGTTGACTTTACTTTAAAAGTAATGCCGCTCAATGTTTTACACGAATTTCATGTTAACATTTTATTGGAATTGTGCATAAAAAAAAATATCCGGGAAAAATAACAATTGTGGTGGGATGTTTGTACCTCGAACAAGACATTTTTGTTGGGATCTCCTGTCATTTTCGGGGTTTTGTTTGCTGTCTTTTACCCTCTTCCTCCATTCAATAGTTTGTTGCACCTTCTTTTGCCTCCTTTTTTCCTTACTTATTTTAATCCGTTCAGCAGCTGTCAATTTACTCGTGCCTAAATGTTTAAATGTAACTTTTAGACCAACATCTGTTTAATAAATTACTTACAATTTTAAAATATATACAAGTTCATTGTATATAGCCCCCCTTCTCATTAAATAAAAAAAAATACATTCTTTAGCATTTAATGTCATTAAATACAGCAATAGAATGAACTAAAGGATATAAAACTTCTTTTTAATTTTACTCTAAATTATGTTTACGTTAATGTACGTTAATTAGAATTGAACGTCAAAATAACCCTAATTTTTACGTCTGTGACATTATATGTTGACTTTCAATTCTTGGTGGGATAATGTTACCGTTTCATTGAATATAGATTTATTTATATAGATTTCTTTTTTAAGAGATGCACATTCGATAAAAATCTATTTTTTTAAATTGTGTCTTTTTTTAAAGACTTTAGAAATGGTTGATATTACTACTATCATATCAAATTAATACGCGTTTTCAATTTTGTGCAAAGTGTGACATTACATGTTGACTCCGTAGATTGTCTCTAAAGTAATCATATTATTGAAGAATTAATTCAATTTTATGTCTCAAGGAAAATCTGAATTTGCACATTGTATATATAAAATTCGAGGGGGCTTAATTGAATAATAAATTCATAATAGGAAATCATATAATGGAACATCGCATTTATATATGACGTTTTCGTCGTCAGTTTATTTTTGTGACACATAGATATATATCTTATTTTAATATATTTCAGAAAATTTACTGCGTCAAATACAAAAAAAAATGTATAGATTTGCAGATACTGATAATATGAGAAGAAATAATGGATTTTTGAAAATTTAATAGTGATCATTAACCCAGTATAACCAATTGACCTATTCCACGCGATTTAGAAATAGCAACTCTAGAACTTTGTGACACAAAAATATAATAACATCATCGGAAGAAATCTTCAAAATATAAGGCTCTTATTACACTTTTAATGTAATATCAAACTACGATTATTTTTATATTGATTAGTATTATTGAAATAAAATTACTAAATAAATTTTAAAACATTTGATTTTTTCTAAAATATCTAATTACCCGCCATGGTCCTTTTCTCTTTCCTCCTTTTTTAAGCCTGTCTACACACCCATTTTACATTTTAAGCCAGCGTCTGTGGCATACATATTGAATGACATCACAATAGAAATGACGTACATGGTTTACATCATATTTTTAATTTTTCCGCTAAATTTCATGGAGATATTTTATATTTTGATGAAGTTATCAACATTTTGCTACTGCATATGCATTGCCCCTGTTACCCGTCTACATGTAATTTTGACGTTATTTTCGTTATATTAAACCAAATATATTTTTAATAATCAGTTTTTGGACAGGTTTTTTCAATAGAAATGTATAGAGAATATAATTACCAACCGAATGATATATAACTTTAATAGTAAATACTTTCCATCACACATAAATGAGAGATTAATGATGCAGCAATGGTGATTAAAACTTTTTGACACCAACACCGTGCGCAACGTCTATCCAATTTTCACAATGTGGTGGGACACAGTTGACAAATTTAACTCATTTTGTCAATTTTCTGAGACCTTGATCTTAACAAATCTATTTCAAATTCTCTAGAGAGTGCATAAAAAAGACGCCGGAAAGGGGTGATTTCCCCCGAAATTAATAATCTTTAAGTTAAAGTTTAACTTTTGGAAAACTGGCATGAACTTTCAATTGTTCAAACAGCGTTGAGAAAGACAAATTGTGATGGTAAAGAAGGATTCAATTGCAAGAAAGCTTAATATTTATCTTGTGATAGTCCAAGATCAAAATAGCCTTCTGCTTATCATTTCAATGAATAAATTTGATGACTAAATCAAAAGAAAGTTGAGACTAAAGCAAATGCCTGTATAAACAGCAAAAATTTTGGCGTTATAACGCGAACGTTACGCGTTTATTCGCGAAAGTTTTGCGTTATAACGCGAAAGTTACGCGTTATATCGCGAAAGGTACGCGTTTATTCGCGAAAGTTTCGCGTTATAACGTGAAAATTTTATTTTTTTTTACCTACGAAAATGAGCTCATTGGGCTTTCGTAAATAAGTGTAATAAATATAAATTGTGAAAAAAATGTCAAATAGGCCCCGGGGTTGAATATCGGGGGTGGGGGGGTGTTCCTGTCCACAAGTACCTGTGTAATTTCTTTCATTTTTTTTTAAATATGGAAAGATGTTTTCTCCATTGAGATTATGAATAATTTTTTTTTCAATTCTAATTACCAAATCCATTGAATCGCGTATTGCGAAGCAATTTTTGTGGCATCATCTTGAACTGTAAGATTAAGACACTAATATCAGATGGATTGCTAATTCTGGATGTTTATTAATGTTTTTTGTTGTTGTTGTTACATCCGTTAAATATCCGAACGTGTTTGGCGCACCATCGCATGCACATGATACACAGCTGCAATAATGTAGCCCTCTCCCTTCCTCCCCCCAAGTAAACATCAGATTAAAAACATCGGAGAGGGCTACATTATTGCAGCTAACAAACACTGTATAATTCTTTGGTCAAAGTACTTTTAATTACAAAACTTTTCACTGTAAAGGCCACAAAATAATCACTTGTTTGTGAATGAATTTCAGATAGACCTATACAGATATACAATTCTTCATGAATTCATGCTGAAACTGTCATCAATTCATTTGACTCTTAAATCATAAATGTACAAAAAATTGAATAAACAAATAAAAGGAAATAATGATTTTAGATGAGAATACAAGGGACAACATGCGCTTATTATTAAATTTTGTTTGAGTGAAAAAGAAACAACATATCTAAACTGACACTTGCAAACACAATCTGCAGGTCTTGAAAGATACATTATTATTACTTTCACAGAAGTGCTACTCATTTGTTGCTAAAACATATAACTTAACATGCAATAAAATAAATAAACATTTATGAGAAGTTATAGGCTAAAGGTTTACATTATTTCAACCGTGCATTGGCTGCGATTTTGTTATAGGCCTATACATGTATATTATCGCCATTTAAAAGTTGGGTGGGCATAAACAAACTTCCTCCATAAAGTGTAATGGAGAAAGACTAGTGCCCCCCCCCCCGAGATTCACCGCTCACCCAGTTTCCAAAAATCTCTCTATTTTGGGGGTTGGGGGGGGGGTTGGTGGTACGTGGTGCATGCGATCTAGGGGGGGTCGGGGGGGGGGGTCTGGAATTTACCAGGTTAAAAATTGTATATACTAAAACAAGAAAAAAGTTACCATGGACCCCCCCTTGGAAAACGCAGACACCCCCCGCCTGATAAATATATTAAAACAAGAAGAAAGTTACCATGGACACCCCTTGGAAAACGCCGACCCCCCCCCCTGGTAAAGACAAATATGTGTAAAAAGGGTAGGCTATGAAAAGTTGAAAATTTGAGGAAATAGAAGTCAACCCCCCCCCCCAACCCCCCCCCCCCCCACGAAATAGATTTTTGACGTTTGGGCGAGTTTTACTTTATGTTTTTTTTTTTTTTTTTGCTTTTCTGGGATAGGAATTTTTTTGACTGAGGTGGACCCCCCCTGAGAAAAAATTCTGGATCCGCGCAGGCCTGTGGTGATGTCCAGAGGAATGAGAAGTAATTTTATTTTAACTTAGGATCTAACAATTAGGTTTAAATTTGTTGTAAATAAGGCTTTGTAAAATATTTTCATTACAGAGCAATATCTTGTGATCTAATCAACTTAGTTTACTGAGGAAATGAACATACAATAAAACCATAAAATCAAGGTAATTTGTTGACAAATTGGCAGGATTGAATCGATGAAGCATTCTGAATAATTCGTATATCCCTACAGCAAATGTTTGGAGATATTTGTTTAAAATTTCACAAACGGTGCATATTTCAAGGTGAAACTGATAAGCGTTGAAATATGTTGACTTTGATCGTCAAACACCCCGTCAAGTTTAACCACGTGGGTAAATACTCCACCAATGGGAAAATGATTCTATTTGTTGACCTATTGCACGTGGATCAATTTAACCGAAATACGCATGTGTAATAACCTTGTAACCCGTGAACCGGCCGTCTGCTAAGAATGACAGTCCCAGGCCATACGTCGAATATGGAGGAAAAACAGCAATCTGTTGCGGGTACCCCAAATGAAGCAAATTTGCTGAAATTAATGGAACGTACAGGTTATCCAATGGTGCAAGAAAATGGACAGAGAAAATATGGTCCCCCACCTGACTGGAACAAGCAAGTACCTCCCCGTGGATGCGAAATTTTCGTGGGTAAAATACCAAGAGATTGCTATGAAGATGAACTTGTTCCTGTTTTTGAGCGTATTGGAAAACTTTATGAGCTTAGACTTATGATGGACTTTTCGGGGAGCAACAGAGGATATGCATTTGTAATGTATACCACTAGATCGGACGCACAAAAAGCTGTTAGGGAATTGAACAACTTCGAAATTCGCAAGGGACGGTTACTGGGTGTATGCACCTCTGTCGATAATTGTCGTTTATTTGTTGGTGGAATCCCTAAAACAAAGAACCGAGAGGAAATTTTACAAGAGATGAAAAAAGTCACGGAAGGAGTTGTGGATGTGATTGTGTATCCCAGTGCAGTGGACAAGAGCAAAAACCGTGGATTTGCTTTCGTTGAGTACGAAAGTCATCGGGCTGCGGCAATGGCAAGAAGAAAATTAATTCCTGGAAGAATTCAGTTGTGGTCCCATCAAATTGCAGTCGACTGGGCTGAACCCGAGCAAGATGTCGACCCAGAGACAATGTCCAAGGTAGGCACAATACACACTATACACGTGTTTTCAGTCATGCGTAAAAACGTAAACAAAAAGAGTACTTGCAGTTTGTTTACCGCGGTATTTCGACTTGTGGATGCTGTATATTCTGCGTGTGGGCATTTTACTTTTATTCTAAAATACATTATTATATACAAGCAGCAAATTATTGTAGTCCTAGATTACAATAAGTAGGTCACCTTTTCATACCTGGATCGCCCTGTTCCTGTTTGCTCTTATCATAGATAACGCAGATTATCTGTCAACAATGTTGGTATTTGCTTAAGAGATCAAGAATGTACAGACACGTTATCATCCTGCATGAGTTTAATGGTTAAAAATAAATGTAAAGTCATGAGTATAGACCACAGTGCTTTTTGACTTGTTCAGTTTCTGCAAATTCAAGAATCTTGAAAAAATAGTCTATGAAATATTACAGCAACTAAGCCTTCAATAAATAAGTTTCTAAGAATGCATTTTTAATGTAAAAGTATTAAGTTTCATTATGAGTTGACACACTCGTATGTCCTCCTTCCTGAAAGTTGCAAATGCTCTGTAAACTGTAGTGTTAAATCCATATATTGGTTATGTCACACCATGTGTATTGATAACTCATACAGAAATTTAAATGCTCCTGTTCTAGAAAATGCATTTATTTCCAGGTGAAAATATTGTATGTACGAAACCTGATGTTAAGTACAACTGAAGACACCATACAAAGATTCATGAATTGCAAACTAGGCAAGGACAGTGCTGTGGAGCGAGTGAAGAAGATCAAAGACTATGCCTTTGTCCATTTCAAAGATCGAGATGATGCTCTTCAAGCCATGGAACTGACCCACAGTAAGGCATAAATTAAATCTTATTAAAACTGAAAGAAATTAAAACAGTAAAATTATTTTATGAAAGAACAAATTAATCTACCAACTTTCTGAGGAAAAAACATAACTTTATTATTTAGTAATCATTAATCAAGACCCCTGTGTCTTATGCACAACAAAATATATTTTAAAAGTGACATATCAGACTTATTTAAGGTATGTTAGATATTTTCTTTATTCAAATTTAATTTCAGATGCAACTCTTGATGGTGCCAGAGTCGAAGTTGTTTTGGCAAAACCTGTTGATAAAAATGATTATAGGAATTATACCAGAGGAAAAACTGCTTTACAACAGGTATATTTAAAATTGATAATTGCTGAAATTTAAGAAAAATATATATCTGTACATGATATTGAATCAATCTTACAGTGTTGCAATAAGACGCTTGCCTTTTGGTATTTGCTCACAAATGCTTTTTGCTTGTGGGCTTCAAATTCTTGAGGAACATGTGCTAGCACATGCTAGCAAAATCAACTTTAAATACTTATTAGTTTTTCACTTTTTCATAGAAAATAAACTTTTTCACTCAAGTTTGAAGTCCACAAGTTTGTTGTGGATTCATGACTCTAATAATTGTTGTTGTCATAAATACAGCCTTTTTGTGAATATATACTGCAATTGGCTTTTATACATCCTTTTTTCCCCTCAGAAAATTTCACTCAACTTTAAACAAAACACAAAAGAAAAAATGTGAAATTTCAATCAAGTGGTGTTTAGATCCAATTGAAAAAAAAAAATAGACTGGACCAATATATTACAAAATTTGATATGAAAAATAAAGTTATTACACTACAGAAAGTTAAAATGGAAAATATGACATGCAAATAATTATATAAATTAAGAGTTTATTAAAGTACTTTTTTTAGCTCACCTGAGCCGAAGGCTCAAGTGAGCTTTTCTGATCACATTTTATCTGTCATCCGTCTGTAAACTTTTCACATTTTTGATTCTTCTCATGACTTTAATTTTTACAAAACACAAAGCATCCTTGGGTGAAAAATTTAAATTGTTAAAATCAAGTGGTGTTTTACATAGAAATAAATAGGAAAAAACTTTAAAAATCTTCTTCTCAGGAACCACTGGAAAAAGCTGAAACTTGGGAAGCATCCTTGGGTAGTGAGATTAAATTGTTCTTATTAATTTTACATAGAAATATGTAGGGAAAAATTTCTCTCCTTCTTCCTCTTCTCAAGAACCACTAGGCCAGAAAAGCTAAAACTTATGAAAGCTGCAGCAAGTTAAAATGGAAAATGACATGCAAACAATTATTTAAATTAAGAGTTTATTCTAGTAATTTTTTTAAAATATAAATATGACCCCCAAATTCTAGTGAATAAAATGTGGAAGTTCACTTCATCTTTAAGGTTTAAACCCTGGATTACAAAATACCTTATAAGCTTTATATTCCACACATGTACATTAATTTTTAAAATATAGTATTGAACTAATTTGGAATTTTTTTAAACTTTAGGATGATATTGAAGAGGCTCTAGAATCGCAATTAAAACAGCTCTCATTTGAGGTTCTTATTGTCAATTTAAATTTTCTTGTTATTTAGTTGCAGATTTTTATTTGATGCATGTTGTGTTTCCAGATAAAATATTCTTGTTTCAGGGATAGAAAATATTAATTTTTGTTAAGCGAAATTAGCAAGTGTAGAAAAAAAATGTATTTGCACTAACAAACTTAATTTTCAAACATTTTTCAAATTTCTTTACTTTTTGAAAATTTCATGGTGAAAAAAATATGACACACACATGAAAAAACACAAGCTTTAGTTTGTTTAAAAAGTAGTGATGGCCATTGATGCAGTATATTTTAGTCACTCTCTTATTCAGGGAGTACTTCAGCATATTTTAATTGTGGTTTATTCATTTTGTAAAGCACTTTAGACACAAGACAAAGTAAGAATGAGCTGTAACTATTATTGTTGAAATCTTAAAATTTCTTCTAAAATTTTTCAACACTTAACCCCATACATATATAGTTTAATATTTGATTATTCCATCACAGCAATTATAACCCTTAAATTTCTGATCCCTTGTTGAAGAAAGGGTTGAGGGAAGCAATTTTAATAGCACCCTGTAATGAGTTTGTGACAGAAGAACAAGTATATACAAGCTTTGCTTTTTTCACCCTTAAAAAAACATAACTTTTCTTTGTTAGTTAAGTTTATAAGTGAAAAGGTACTTCTAATTAAAAATTAACATAGTTAGACTTAGTTTTGTTTTACTAAAACAATTATTTGTATTTGAAAAGATAGTAAAACGTTTGTGAGAATGTGATGACTTCGAATATTAATTCCATAAAAAGTGGATGGGGCCACATAAAATTAATCTTTAGATTCTCATCCTAATTTGCTAAAAAATTGGGGCGGGTGGGCGGATTTTATTTTTTATTTTTTATAATTGTTAAATTTTAACTGTCAACAAAACATGGACTCTTCGTGCACATTTTTTTATTAAGTTAATGCCAATATGAATAGATTTGATTCTTTTCATATTGTTTTAAATATTTAAAGAAAATTCTTGATTTAAAAAATTAAATATTTATTGTTAATTAACAAATTATCAAGTACACAAATTTATACGGCACATGCCAAACAAAATGAGGTGGGGATTATTTGCAATCAATTGTGTATCCCCCACTTATACCTTTTAGTTTTACCAACAAATCTCATATAAAATGTTGATTTCCGTTCCTAAAAAATTGATCGTTTTTGAATATATAGGTCATAATTTGCAAAATCTATAAAATATATTCTAATAAAATATTCTACTGAAAAACTTAGGCCTGAACAGTTTTAAGATTTAACATTTTCTTAGTACTAATTCTTGTGTGTACAATTTTTTTTTCCAAAAAAAAAAAAAAGAAAAAAAAAATATATACTTGACCAGGTGTCATTTTCCTCGTAATTTTTAATAAAATCTCTTTTTTCATGCCAGTGATGGTTGAATGTGTTTGTGCTCTTTTTTCTTCTCTGCCTTCTCTACACTGATAAAATTTTCCTTACATACTAGTACTTAAATTGCTTTTTTTGGATTTTCACATGGCTCTTTTGCTATAGCGATTTTAATACAGAAGATAACTCTTATTTGACCAAAATTCTTGCTGAAGTAAAAATACATGAAAATACTTTTAACACAAAAAATCAAAATAAAAAACATCGGTGGACATGAATATGGCCTGGATGAACTGAGGCAAACCTTCATTGATCACTCTCGTTCAGGAAAAGTCATTTTAGATGTCTATTATACATGGTAAACTTGATATTAGAATAAGTACAGGCTCAAATCCTTGTATTCCAATATAATTCATCATATAATGTTGCAGTTTAAAGTTTTTGAATATATAGGTAGTTACACAGTAGATACAAGGAAAAAAAATTGCCTCCAGAATACATGTTTACTATAAAATAACATTTTCACTGGTTTAAATTTTGGTGGTTTGAGCAGAAACTATAGCTTTGTTGGGATTTGATTTCCATACATGAATTTTTGATTCACATTTCTTGGTTTTTATGGAACTGCAAAGCAAGCAAAATTAAATTTCAGTATGACTGAAAATTTAAAGTTCAACACAGTCATACTCTGTAGTAATGGTAGACCATGCATGAAAAGAAGTTTTCAGGAACTCTTGAGAAACTGTTCTTTCTAAGAATGCACTAATTGTGTTTTATATTTAGGCTTTTGGTGGATACAACATGTATGGTGATCAAACCATGTTTAATCAAGTTTTCCAACATCCTGGCAGGTAAGGAACTGCAGAATAAATTTGTTTTTAGCTCACTTGAAGCTCAAATGAGCTTTTCTTACCACCTGTAGCCCATGTCATTTTGTCTGTCTGTCTTCTGTAAACTTTATATATTTTTTAACTTCTTGTCAAGCACAACTTGGCCAATTTTAGCTAAAGTTACAAAAATGTATCCATGAGTGAGGATGATTCTAAATTGTTAAGATAAAAAATAAAGCTCCCTTCAAAGGGAAATAATTACTGGTAAGAAAAAGCAGAAATAGGGTGGAGTCTTATAAAAAAAAATTAATTTCTCACTACTCAAGAACAACTGGGCCAGAAGAGGTGAAATCACTGTTTTGTCTAATGTACAAAAAAAATTATCATTTTGAATTGTGAAGTTTAAGTTAAAAGATTTTCTATTTGATTTTTCAAATTTACAGAGAATTCCAAGGTAGGACAGCCATAGGGATTCGTGGTGCCCTGAGAGGTCGAGGTCGTGGAGCGGCTGGATCTAGGGGGGCAGGGAATCAGAGAGCTGGTTTCATTCCTGGCGTTATGGGCAGAGGCTTGAGGAGGTATCCTTATGAAGTAAGTTTTGTTTTTTTAATTGCATGATAATTCCTTGTTTTGTTATTTTCACTGATATTGTTTAAAAAGTAACTCTTGTATTCTTGTTTAGCTAACAAAACAAATAAACCTATTCACAATATGCAAAATTGAGTGCAGATTGAGATGTATTAGACAGAAAAAAATCTGGTGTTGTGTTTGTTAAATCATGAAAATAATTAATTAAATTTTCACTCCTTGATTATTTCCATTTTTAATACATGTAAAAAAAAAAAAGTTATTAAGATTACTTTAGATATGTATAGTTATTTAAATCTAATTAATGCTAAAAAGTACTTGTTAAGACATAGGGAAATACAAAATAACAAGGATATAAAAGTTAGATAAAAGTTGTAGACTCTTTAGATTTTGTTCATTTCTGCAAGTTTGTGCATGCTGTTTTCTCATTGCTACTAGGACCGTTTATATGATTTGCTGCCTGGCATGGAATTGACACCTACTAACCCTATAACACTCAAACCACAAACTGTCAAACCTCCAACACAGGTATTAAGCTCTGTTTCTTTTGCTTGCTAGTATTCTTTATTATCTCATATCTATAGATGCTTCAGTCTATGATTTGATAATACTGATACATTGATGAGTAAACACAATATTTATGCCCTCTTTTTAAGAAGAGAGTGCATATTGCTTTGCAGCCTTGCTGTCTGTCGATCGGTTGGTTGGTCAGTTTTTGTCTGTCGACTGGTCCACCAAGTTTCTGTTCAAATTCTTTGCAGCAGTTGCTTATATATGCCAGATAGCTTAGTTGGTAGAATACCTGACTGGAGATTCAAGGGTCTTGAGTTCTAAGCCCAGTCTTGCCTGTCACATTTTCTCCTTATTCCTTTCCTGAAACACTTATTTTTCATTCTATTGTGGCACTCTGCAGAGAACTTGTACTATACAATAGACCAAGGGTAATTTCCATGAAAATAAGAGATTTCCATGAAAGCAAATCTGCATGGTCATAAATATGTTTATCATTAACTAGCTGCAAGTACAATGGATATGAAGGACTATTGAGATTTATACTGTTTAACATATTTCACTGAAAGCAAATCTGCATGGTCATAAATATGCTTATCGTTAACTAGCTGCAAGTACAAAGGATATATGAAGGACTATGAAATACTTTTAAATAATTTACCACACTCGGTCTACAGTCCTAACTGAGCTGAATGGAAATTTTAAAATAATTTTTTTGGAGGGGGCTTTTAAAAAATTGCCTGTATCCTTTCCAGTAAACTGAATATATGGCATCATTTTGGCAGCAGTATGCATCATAAAAATACCAATTGTGATGAACAACACACATTTCTCCTTATCTTATTAATGATGCAATGATCATTTAAATACACTGTACTGTTATTTTGAATTTATTAATCTTTATTTGTTCAGGACCTGAGTCTATGCACTGCATTTTAGTCAACTTTTTATGCAAACCAAAATGTATCAATTTTTTTTTATAAGGAAGGAAAAAAGTTTAAATGAAAATTCGTTTTTTTTTTTTAACATAAAGTCAATGTAATGTTTTTTTTTTTTTAGATTTTGGATGACTTTTGCCAAAAGAATGGTCTTGGCTCTCCACTTTATCAACTACATTCTACTCTTAATGGAGACAGTCAGCTATTTTTGTATAAGGTAAGGTAAAAAAAAAAAGCAAACTCTGAAACCTATTACCTTATAGAACTTGCATTTTAAAAAAAAATTGAAGATAGATTTTAGTAAAATTGATAAAAAAATTTTTTTTGAAGGTTACTGTTCCAGCATATCCAAATCCATTTCAACCCAACAAATTATGTCGCACTGTGGAGGATGCAAAATGTTTTGCAGCAGAATTTGTGATGTCTCAGATGGGAATTCCAATGGATGGTAAGTTTTAATTTGGCCTGGCAGTACATGTACAAGGTTTGATGCTTTCTACTCTCTTCTTTCCGTCATAATGGCTACTGCACAAACACTTTCAGCAAACATTTCTTTGACATTTAGCATTGTATAATTCATTATCCAAATTTGTGTTCTTTAGCTAAAATTTTTTGAATAAAAGTAATTATGGAGATTTAAAAAAACAGTTCCTTCGTGTGCTAGTGTAATTGTTTTGAAAAGTAATGGGCTGAAATGTATTAATCTCACTAGAGTCAGAGCTAGCCCATGGGAACTTGGGCCACATTAGAGCCACTCTTAAAATTCTGTAGATTTAAATTTGGTTTGAGTTGACGACACAGGATGTTGAAATGAGGCTCCAGTATTTAATAAAAATTTTCATGTGGAAATAGATTTTTTTTTTTTTTTAAAAAAGGTCAATTTTGGAACTTATTTCGACATATTAATTTCAAGAAGTATACAGAATTTAGGAATAAAAATTGGAAGCAATGTATAATATTTATTCGCAAAGAGCTAGATATGAATAAAAAGCTAAAATTTAGGTAGAAATTTGTTATATAAGTATTTTATTTGAGAAAATGGATACCCTTTTTAAGGAGTTCCATACCTTTATCTTTTGAAACCCCAAATTGTGTGTAAGTCAGATGAAAGCAATCTAAAGGCCTGTGGTCTGAATTAATTAAACTGTCTCTCTGTCTCCTTCTTGTTTAAAAATTCATTTTACAGAGAAAATATGGTTTAAATGAGGTGAGAGTTCCTCATTTTTCAAAGTGATTGTTAATATATATGACAAGATCGATTAAAAGCCACACAAAAATAAGTCCCATCTGATAATCTTACTGAGTATAAAAGTTTTGATGGACATGATGTAGTCATGTATTAAGAAAAATGAAATGCATAAAATTCATTTGATTGATGGTTCATTGAATCATTTCATGACCTATAAAGAACTGTTGAAAATATATTATTTAGTGGGGAGAAAGTAAATTGTGAAGTTTAGGCTTTATAAATCTCTTTAAAGAGTGAATTTAGATCACCTTCTTGTATGTCACAGTAAGTTGACAATTTTATCTTAGGTGTTTGTTTTATATCTGTTCATGTATCCAGATTTATTGATATTTATAGTATTTGACATTTTGACTGCATTGTAAATTTTACCTGTTTTCTCATGAGAAAGTAAGAAGAGAGAGAAAGTATGGAACACTCAGAGTATCTTTTAACAATTTTTAGATAATGATTTTTATTAAAAGCTCAATTTCGAGCTTTTCATTCACTGTCTCTACATAGCATTTTCTGAAGCATATTTTCCTATTTTTGATTCTTGGTATAACATATACTGAAATAATCAATTAAATAATATCTGATGCTTAATAGTGTAAGACCTAGAATCATCAAATTTTATCATTGATGCATCTTTTTAGGGGAGAGGTGTATTTCATGACCAAAGAAGGCTGCTATGACCAATCACATTTTAAAAAATTCTATAGCTATCCAGTGCAGTCAAATTGTGTGTGCAAAATATATTTCATACTTTGAAGCTAGAATTATTAAATTTTGTCAGTTGATGTATGCTTAGGACGCATTTGGGTGTGAAGATCCAAAAGTAGTCCATTTGACCTCTTTCTGCTAGAGATCTCTATATTCTTACAAACTTCTTTCTGCTTATACAGGTCCACCAGAGATGCCAACAGGTCCTGTAGTGGCTTCTGCACCTATTGCTCCTAACCCGTATCAGGGGAGGCCTATAGGACCTGCTTATGCCTCTATTCCAAGTGCAGTGTCTGCCCGCCCAGACCTGACTTTTGCTTCTACCATGCCAGTGGTGACCACTGCACCACCTTCTTATGTTATGGCACCAGGAGAGCTCCCACCTCCCCCACCACCTCAAAGTAAGCTCACTCAGGGGGCTGGTATTGCTCACATGTTTGCATAGAGGCTGTTTAGCTCACATTTGTCTTCAACAGAGTTGGTAGACATTGCTTACAGTTTATTCTTTAGAATAACATTTAATAGCTATATTGAAAATGTAAAGACTTTTAACTCCTCCATTTTCCCCACGCTTGATGAATATATTTGGTGAGTATGAAGTGAAAATATCTGTTTTCTTTTAACAGTTGCTGGTTTTGACACAGGATACATAAAGTGAGATTACACATCCTCATTGTTAGCGTGTGGCAGATTTGCATAATATATTTTTACTTTTTCGAATAAGGGTTTTTGAAATGGAAGGAAAATAAACAAAATGAGAGAAGTCAGTATGATCATGATGCTGACATTTAATCTACAGTTTTGATTGGAGAAAACAAAAGTAGTATTTGACAATTGGTCAGGTTGTATGTTTACATTTTACTGAAGGACTTTGGAGGAGATATTGTGACTTATGGTATTATATTTCATGTTATGTGTGTATTATTGCATGCAATTTTAATGTTAATTGTTGGAATCATTTTAACTTTTAACAGTGTTCTATTGAACACAACAACTTGTTCATTTAGGATTTTATTCTCTCTTTTGAGAAGCATTTTTTTTTATTGTTTTTACATAGGTGAAATTCAAACAGATATATTTAATAAAAATCAGTGAAAAATTGATATTGTACCACAAAGTTAATTAAACTTAGAATAATTTCTTTTTTTACATTTGTAATATAGTGAGACTTTTATATAAGAAAGTAAAAGGACAGTTTATATTTGTGAAAACGAGAATTGTAGTCTTCAAAATTTAATTAACTATGTGGTACAGTATCATATAATATGATATAAGAACAGTGCTCTTAATTCATTCTTGAAAACCCTGTTGATTCTTAATGTTATACATTTAACCCCCAGAGTGCATGCCATCTTAAGTGCCAAAAGCCTTTTATCATGAACATGTTAGTTTATTAGGAAATCTGAATTGCTAATGACCAAATGGAAGGTGTTATAAAACAATACATGTACTGATATTTTATCAATCAAAATATGCATACATGTACTTTTATTTTATCAATCAAAATATGCACTGATTTGCGGTAATATGAAAAAAATGAGTAGTTCAATGATAATTTTATTTAATATCATTTCATGCTTTAATTCCTGGTAAATGCCACCCTTCCTTTGCTGGCATTTTAGACATTTCTAGCAAATGCACACTCAAGGATAAATGCACCAACTTGCCTGAATTTTATGGTTGTAATTAGTAGACTGTTAGTAATTCTTAGATTGAAGTTTTATTTCCAAATCTTAGCTGTTTATTATGAGACTTGGATATTTAAATAGAAAATGTTCTAGGATTTGTGGAGCATTACTTCTTTCAGTTAAGTGAAATTTGCATGGTTGGATTTTTAACTGTGTTTGGGCAATACCAATGCCATGATTCATTGATGTATATATATTTTGACCAAGGAATGTTTAAGTTTCTAAATAATCATATCTTTTGAAAAATTGTGGACTTGTTTCTTTTCATTTCTTCAATTCGGTGATGGTATCTTTAATTTATAGAGTAGAATTTATTTAGTTGCTAAATGATTTATAACCAGATTTTTTGTGTCACAATTTCTTTATTTCATTTATTTTTCCCATATATGTTATGTACCTTTTTCTTCTTTTTTTTTCCTTGAAGGAAATAATCTGTGTATATTTAGTTACAGCTCAAATTCATTACATTCCACCATTTGTATGAATATCTTGGACCATTTTAGTTAATATTGTACACCATCTCTCTGAAAAATGAGATTTCCACCCATAGCTTATCTTGTTCATTGTATTTCTTGCAGCTTGTTGTTACTTTAGTGTAGATTTTAAGTTCTTTGTCTGCATGTAGTCTGGCTTTATTCTACTGAAGCATCTAGCTCAAATGTAACAAGTTATTTTGTTTACTTCAAGAGTTTTTGTAGGGATTTAGAAAAAAAAAAGAGTTTACCACTGATCTTGGCAATGTAAAGACAGTGAATTTCTTTTCTTTCTTTTTTTTTTTTTTGGCTTTCACTTATAGTTACTTCCATTTCGGTTGACTTTTTTTGCCTTCTAACATATATAGAAATAAGTTTTGTGGAGTAGTTATAAAACTCAGGATTTTTCCCCTTGCCCAGCATGACTGTGATAAATGTACATATGGCAGCCCTCAGATCTAGAGATTGGACCAGAAACTTGTAAAAGACTTCCATTTTCCTCACAAAACAATTGGTACATTTACAAAAAATAAGGAAATGTCATTTATATAAATGTAGCTTATAGTGTTTCTTATTTGTACAATTATGTCACAGAGACAACATCTGGTGATGAAAAATGTGCACAGAAAACACCTCATATTGACAGGGCTGCCATCGAAAATGCATATTTTTAGATTTTATTTTTCTTGGAGAAGTCAATTTCAATCATGATGTAAAAAATTATCACAAGTTCAATTATGATGGTTAAGAAGAAACCGCAACCATATTGTCTGGAAATTTAATTGTAATTGTTGTTAGAACTTGTATCTAAAACTGAAAAATTCAACATTGGACTCTTTAAGTGTGTGCATATATGCACTGTTTTATGTATTTTTCTCAGGTTTGTTATGATTTGTTGAGAGATAATTCAAGGCAAAGATTATAACTTTCGATTGCATAGAAGCAAATTTTGTTACGATTTGTTCCTTATAATCTGTTTTATGTAACATAATATTCCAATACATAAGAATTGATATACATGTATCAACATTCCATTGTATCAATCAGAGCTTGAATAAATATAATAGTCATCTGTGTACAACTAGTAATTTGTGTTTATTTTAATATCATGATAAACTGAAAGGGTCTTAGTCTCAAGCTGTGCTTGTGCATTTATAGTACAATATTGTAAACCATGCACTTTTGAATTCATTAATTTGCTTGCTACTGACTGAAGAGAGGATAATTTAAATTATTAACAATGTCTAATCTGACAAATTTCTTTGGACCCAATGGTGACTAGATTAGACAAGGTCTACTGTATTAGTAACAACAGTAAAACATCGCATATTGGTACTGAGAAAACCTGTCATGATGTATCTGAGGATATTATCAAGTGCTAGGGACTTTCAGATATTGGAAAGCTCTACAGTACTGTATCTAAAGGACACACTTCAATTGAGGAATACATGTAATAGTTATATCTTTGGCTTTTCAGTTACTAATACAAGTCAAAAGTGAGCTTGTCTAAGTTTTATGCCCCCCCCCCCCTACCCAGCAGGTCCTTTTGTCACAAGTAAACCTTGTCATAAGTCAATACATGTAATTGGAAAATAAGAGATGTTTGTAAAAACACTGTTGCCCCCCTCCCCAAATTGATTGGACTATTTCAAGTCCAAGGCACATAACTCTTGTCAAAAATGGCTTGGTCATACCCAAAACAGAACTTATATTAAACCTATAGATATTTTTATGATAAATCTGTATACCAAATTTCATTTCAATATACGCAACCTGTGCAAAGGAAACAAACCGAAACTGTAAATTATTGGAATTTTTCTAAAGCCACGGGGGGTAACTCTGTCCAAAATGGGCCGATCATACCCAAAACAGAACTTGACATAACTATTCTTATGATGAATCTGTAAACCTAATTTCAATTCAATACGTGCAACCTCTGCAGCGAAAATGAACATAAACTGATGGTAGACCAACAGCAGCAAAGCAATACGCCCTACCTTCTTCCTCGGAGGGCATAAATATTGCCTTTGCTTTGTTTTTTTAAATTCTCAAGTACTATCTTCATTGGAACAACTCTTTAGTGCTTTATCCATTCTTGGAGGTACAATTTAGTGATTTTGAGAAGCAAATATGCAAGTAATTATGCAATAGACAATTAGCCCCTTCAAAGTAACTGTGGTACTACTCTTCTGCAGGTCAAACTAATAGCACTTGTAGGTGTTGTTGTTGATAGTTTATCAAATGACAATTATATCAATTGATTTTACATCATATTTCATCAAAGGATAACATTTTGCCCTGCAAAAGATCAGTACCACAGTTTTCATGAAAGAGTCTATCGTAAACAAATAAACATACTTTTTCTGATTAAGGATGAGAAAATTCTAGGTGAAAGTCGGCTGGACTCCCTTATTTATCCCAACTCAATGAGAGACCATCAGAGCAGCTACAAAACATACTTCCTATCCGTTGTCTCATCTTTGATATAATGAACAATCCTACACATCAACAGATCTCACATTTTATTTAATGACAGAGTAAAAAGTCTAGATTCTTTAAATGATAAATATATATAATATATATGTATATATATAAACAAAATATGCTAAAATCAACAATTATAGTATTTTCAGCATATGACGGAGAAGAAAAAGCTGGAATAATTAAATGTGCATTGAAGTCCCCCTACCAAGCCCCAGAAAGCTCTGCAAGACCACAGTAAATTAATTTCAAGTGTTTGATTATCCAAATTGGCCTCTGTAATGCATTGGAAAACAATAAGTGGAAGTTTCACTCCAAATCATTATCTATAAATTCAATTATATTCATGATTTCTTGGCAAATAAGCCATTTTATGTGCAGATAAACCACATTATGCTTTAAATAAATTATGTTTTTAATCTACAAATTAATTTTCTGTGGCCTCACAACTTTGACCTCACCCAAAATATTTGTCAGAAGAAATCTTGCTAAAACAGTATCCATGAAACTCTTGTTACTCAATTATCTTTAAAATGTTTATCATAATATTAAATTCAACAAAAGAGATGTACACATTTAATTATACAAGAAGGTTTTCCAGCTTTTTCAACTTGGGCAATACATGCCAATGAACATCTAAAATGCCACCAACATGCACGTGATAAAGTTTTGTCAGCACTGTAGAAAAATTAACTGTGTAAGCCAGGTCCAGTTCTGTTGTAGCCCCCAAGGGCAGAGAATGATCAGAGAAAAAAAATCAATTTTGGTAATGGAAAAAAAATTCACAAATGATTGTAACATATTCCCAGCTGAAGACAGCCACCCATATATAAGATTGTTGTGGACAAGAAATCTATCAAACTATCAGAAATATGTCAACCCTCTGGCCTCGGCCTCCATACAGTATAAAATCATACAGGTTAGTACACAACACACTTGTTACCATGGTAACAAGTCAGTCACCATGGCGATGAATGAAACAATACGAAACAGTCACATCGAAGTTATTCTAATACATGTAATTGGGAGTCCTTTTACAAAATGCAAACAATGTCTAGAATTGTCTTTGAAACATCTACTGACAAAGTAGTCTCTTCAATATATATTTGTTTAATTGATCCACCTGAATTATCAACACATCTCAGCCCCAGGCAAATTGTCAAGTTAAGATGTCAAGTTTTTCTCCAGCATTACTTTTGTAATGCCCAATCCTCTGAATTTCACTAGCACTGGAAAAATGTGTAACAGCAAAAAAAAAGATCATCTAAAATAGTTGTACATGGCTTTAGACATTGAAGGTCTCTATCAAATATATCATTTTAAAAATAAATATATAAAGTGTTATATTTTCAGATAGCATTGACTATCATTTCATCAATATAACATAATACATAATGCAAGACTGAGAAAAAAATAAATAAGAAGTTACAGCACCAATATATTAGACAAAGATCCAGCTAGTCTTAAAAATTAAATTAGTGGAAACTAAGGGGAAAAATAGGGTATGTTCAATCCTCATCCTTTAATTCTTTCCCCTCCCCTTTCCAATTAACAATTTATTTTCCACACACACACACACACACACCCACACACACCAGTATCATAACATACCCAACTCTTAATAATTGTAAATAATATAGCATTGAAACTTATTTTGGGTTCACTTTAACGATTTATTTGGCAAACCTCATGTTCAGAGTTAAGTTTTCTAGCTTTATAATAGCCGTAAAAGGGAGTAAAATCAACCCTTCTTTGAGAAGAACATCAAAATAAATCACTCATTAACTAACAGGGTGGAATATCAATTAACACAGACTTGCTGAAACTCTAGACCTCTACTTTTTAAAAGTGTTGGTGATGAAAAAATAAACTGCCATAAAGACCCTTAAAGGTTTCTCCTAATTGTGGATTGATTCTGTTGATGGATACATTTTCTTCCATAAACATGTTATGTTTAAAATGCATACCATTTGTCTTTCAAATGTAATTAATAATTTGCTTATCACAAAGATAAAATGTCAGTTTTTTTCTGAACACTGAAGTTCTTTTTTATAATCTTCATTCAACTCTATCTGAGCATTTCTATACCTGATGAAAACATTATGTGCATTTGTTCATTGTACGTATAGCAATCTTCAGCAGTAATTCAGTCATAGAATTAAATAACAGGAAAAATAGTCATTTTCAAGATGAAAACTAAATTCTAAAAGTCAGCATATTTTAAAGATCACTGATACATGGCACAAAAATTTTAAATTACTAAAGCAGTCAAATGGCAAATAAAAAATTCTTGCTTAATTCACAAAATGCCATTTCAATTTTATAATTCTATTTCTAAAAATACCTTCTTTTTTTTAACATTTGACCCTTCTTGTAGATTTTAGTCCAGTAGAAGGCAAAGCTTATTCTTAAGATTTAAACACAAACTCTGATAATTAAAAGTCCTTCTGACAAATGATAAAAATGGAATTTCTATCAATCTGTTTTACCGGTAACAGAAAAGACTTTTTTGTTTTGGGTTGTTGTCTTGTCTTACTATAGATCAGATATGACAACTACCGGTACATTTAAAAAAAAATTTTTTACTGTAACAGTTTGTTAAATTTCTCAGTAGTGAAACTAAAGCTAACTAGGAACAGGCAGATTCAGAAACAGTCTAAGCATTCTTTATATATTATCAAGTCCTTTTTGAATATCAAATGGTCTCTTCTAAACTAAGGCTTACTTTATTGTGGTGGTAGGAAAGAAAGCAGTCACATAAACAGTCTCGGTTACACTTATAAATACTTTCATACAAGTTTTTTTTTCACTCTCACATCCAGTCACGTTAAGGTACAGTCATGGTAAATTGTTAGAGGGTAAAATCTGATATGTCTTTTTTTCTTTTAATTCCATGTAGTACCTGGAACTGATTTTGAATAAAATTGAAGAAACTTTAATGCCACTGTCCAGCAGCCAGAGAGAGAGAGAGAGAGAGAGAGAGAGAGAAAATTTTATATTTTATCAGAAATTTT